TTGGTGTGGAGATCATAAACTGGTTTAATACATTTGCAGCTAGTGAGACTATATTTATACTTCTTCCACAAAGTCAGAGAACGTTGGTTCTTCAGAGCACTCCATACTATCATACACCTGCTTTATGTGGCCTAATAATGAAAGCTGTGTCGAGTATGGCCCCCAGGGTCCTCATTATGTTCTGAACTCTGGCAGCAGAAGACATGTTTCTTCATCCCTCTGCTTTGGTTTCCCTGTGTGTGACATGGCAGCTGTGCTAACTTCTTTCACAAATACTACTCTATCTGCACTTTGTGAGCAGATTAGCCATGTGTTAGTTCTCGGGGACAGGGCAGGGAAGGTGCTGCAGTGAATTCTGACCAGGTAGGATACATGTATATTCCATAGAGTTGCATAAGCTGCTGAAGTTGTTGGCAAAAATACCCTGGGTTTTAGTAAGTCTTCAGGTCTTCCTTCTTGGTGCTGAGAGGGGATTACTTCTAAGAGCAATTCTCCCAAATCAGAGTTGGACCAGAATTCCTGCAATATGTTGACACCGGGAGAGAATGTGGGTAAGTGAAAGAGTGTAAGTTAATATAAATCTTCCAGTAGAGCTGACAGTTGGTCAGTACTGAGGCTTTGGGCTTATTTATATGTACCTGGTATTCACACAGCCTTATGGAGAATCAACTGGAATTCAAAGAAACAATAGCTGGTTGTCTCCTCATTTTTGGAAGAATCCAGATTAATACGTGACTTTATCTCGGGGAGTTCTCCCAGTGTCTGTCTGCAGATGAGTATGTATTGTAGTCTCTGGCTGAAAGGAAGTTTGATGGTATGAGAAAACTTTTTCTAATGGGTTAGGCATGTGCTGAGAACACAGATCTGTGCTTTCAGTCTATTTTAGCATGAGTTAGTCATGACCTCAGTCAGTTTGATCCCTAGTTTATTCTCTGTCTGTAGAGATATCTCTGTGTAATATGCTGTATTATTTACCTATTGCAGAGGAAGAGGACAAGAACTGTTTTTTTCATGATACTGAAGGAGTATTACATGACACAGGCTATAGCAGTTCATAAACACACTGCCTAGTTGTCTAAATATTCCGTGGATTTCTGGAACTCCATTTTTTTGGGACAGTTCTTTCACAAAGCTTTCTGAACTCTAGCATCTACTTATACCTCTTTCTTAATGTCTTACATGTCTGCTTTTGTTGATGTGGACCTGCTAGGTTGGAGCCAGCAGTATCTAGAGAGGATGGGGTTGGTGACTAGTCCTGCTTTCCTTCCCTCTGTTGGCACTGGAAATAAAGTATTATCTAACTGTGTGCATATTAGACCTTTTGTATGGTGATGAAAGGTGTTTTTATGCTTAACTGTAATTGTTACAGTCAGCATCTACGCAGCTCATGCTTTTGAACAGTGGCTTAATTTTGTTTTACTGAATTTTAGAACTGGTATTTTAGTTACTTTCTTTTGTCACTTCCACCTATCACGCTGCTGTGGCCCCTCCCCAAATTAGTGCTAGTCTTTACTTCTAGCAGAAGCTAGCAAGCATGTTCTGACCCCTTGGTCCAGGGGAAAAAGGATAAGGAAGACTTAAAACTGCATTTGATGGTAAGCAGGTTATTCTCTATTTCTTCATAAGAGATCGTTTCTTCAGTATGGCATAATCTCCTTCCTTGTCTCTGATAACTAAAAATAGTTAAAGGACCTGACCCTATTAAAAACCTGACTTCATATCCGTGTTGTGCATTTATTTACCTTTTAATGTAGTATATTAAAGATTATATTTCTCTTCAGAGTCTGTTGTTTGTAGTGTCAAGAAACAAAAATTTAAGTTGAGGCTTGGTCAGTATTTTCATAAATCAGGCAGCTTCTTTTTAGTAAATTTCATGCTGTTATGTGGGATTTTAACAAGTAAACTGTAATTATGGTTCAACAAGAAAAAGAGTATCCGTGACAATGGCAACCACAGCAGAGCCCTGGTTTTAATCTATCCTTGACCTTCTGCTTTAGATGGTGAGGATTTCTTTGAAATGAGTCTGCTTTGCATACCAGATTTCACCATTCAAATCTGAAGCCTTTACAATAGTGTGTGTCATGTTTCCCTCCCACCCAGAACTAGTCAAAATACCCCAATACAAAGTTCATTTATTGATGTCCAAGAGAACTAAGTCTAGAAGTGAACTATCTTTCTCAAGGCCAAATATGTTACTTTAAGCATTTTTCCCACTATGTTAAACTTTTATTAGCAACTGAAATTAAGTAAAAAATATTTTCAAGATGTAGCTATCATATTGAAGACAGTATAAGACAGTATTATGGACAAAAAATAATATAGTCTTTTTAAAAAAAATCACACAATTCAGAAAATCCGAACTCTTTCAAGTGTGGGTTTCAACTTATGATTTGAAATCACTAGTTGCTTTTTAAAACACATTTCTGCTGTGCTGTGCAACATTGAGTTATGGTTAAGCGTGAGATGGGATTAGGCAAAATTGGCCAGCAAGGCACTGACACTGGCTAAAGAAAGATTTTGTTCAGGAGATACTTAAAAAAAATGTAGGCAGGTGGTTATTTTTTTTTTAATTTCAGATGAGACAGTGGCACATGTTTTCTTACTTACAGTTTGTGCAATTACATCTTTCAAGGATATTCACATCGAGTGTAGCTTCTTGACAGTTGCTAAGAGGGGGCTATCCCCAAAAATATCTTAGAAGGTTTATTTGGCACTAGATAAAATTGCAAAATGGTAACTGTATATACCTTTCTATAGAAGATCACCTTCTTTTGTCCCGTTAATTGCTTACGGAGATAACTTTGGTTTTTAATATCCTGTACAGACATTAAAATACAGGCTTTGCTTTTTGCTGATGTGTACTCTTTTCCTTTCTTTCTTTCTCTAGCCAGTTAGTGCTAGCTTGGAAAAGTTCTGGTTCTAGTTTCCAGCTCCAGTGGTTTTGAAATGGTGCAAGCTTGGAAGAGACTTCTGCTTTTGGAAGTCAAGCTTCCTCAAAGGTGGAGGTAGATCATAGGTCTTCATGATCTTATTCTTAACATAATTCTCTTTGCATAGATTGTGTCAGCGGTGCTTTTGTTCTTAAGTTCTCTCACCACTGTTTTTGTAGCAAAAGAGATGTGTGTAGCCTGATGAATCAGTTTAGGCTGATCTAGACACTTGTTAAAAATGTACGCATCTGTAATACTTGCAGTAGCTTACAATTGACTGTGGGTGCTTACTGTTTTGGAGTTTCAGTGTTGGGAGACTTTCAGAAAAATCTGTTGAGGTAAATTTACTGTTATTTGGAGAGCAGGCAAGGTGCAAAAAAATAGAAATGGCAATTGGTTATTGAACTTTTTAATGAACTTCACATTTTCAAACTCTTTTTTCCTTCCACTGCTTTTCTTTTTATTTCATAGGTGCACATATAACTTTCAAGCGACAGTTAGGAAATTCCTGTCACATTAATTTTAATTTAGCATTTTTATTTTTTGGCCAAAACTTGTGTAAACAAAACCGAAGGATCCCCAGGCTAAAGATACAAGGTTTTTAAGCATTTGCTTGAATATTTTCAGAATAGACAGTAATGCTTTGGTCATGCTGCATTTGCTCAAGTGTAAAGAACAAAGGTTGTTTAGTATAGTTTTTGTTAAAACGTTGTTTCTAATAATGAAGCTTAACAGTAACTGCTGCATAGCAAGTAGTTATGGTTAGTTCTGTTGCAGTGTGCAGGAAAGGGTATGGCGTGGTCGTGCAAGTGATAGAGGTTAAGCAGTATTGGAAGAGATAGAATTTTGGAATTGTTTCCATTGCTGAAGAGTTTTTATTGAAGTACAGTATATAAGCCAAAAGAACTTTCCACCTGATGCAGGAATAAAACCTTAACTAGAAATAAATACCAATCTTTGCATATGTTAGTTGCCTACCACATACATCTGTGACTTTAGAAGAGTGGACAGGGTAAGTATGGTGGGCTTTCCAGCCCTTATCCAGTATTTGCCAAACTTCTGATACCTGAAGCACCTCTTTATGGGTTAAAATTTGTAACAGGGCAACAGTCTGCATGTAGCTGTTAGGACAGGCGCAGAGTGTATCCTATCCCACGGCTTTTCAGTGCTTCTTACTTCTGCCAAGCTAAGAGTGGATGGGCAGAAGGCAAAGGCTTCTGTGTAATGCTTCTCATGTGTTAGGAGTTTTTTTCTTTATGAAGACACCTGAAAATAACTTTAGTGTTCTGTTGCTCAGTTTAATGTTTCTTTTAAAAGGTAAATCCGTTCTACATGAGCATAGGCTAATCTTAAAGTTGTTCTTTTCAGTAATGACATCCCTTCTCAGTGGTCCTACATCATAGATGTGTTCATTCCAAATTAATTCCACAGCTACAGTTCTTTGGTTATAAACTTGAGAAATAAATGGTTTTCTTAACAAGAGAATGTCTAAGCATTTCTGAGGCTTCCTTCCTTGTTAGACTTTACATTATATAACATGAGGGTTGTAAGATTAATATTTTTGCTGCAATTTCCAAACATTTCATTTTTCAATTAAAAAAAAAAACCAAACAAACAAAAAAAAACCCATTCCAGAAAATAAAGGGTTGGTCTTTTTTTAACTTCAGAAATGCAAGTAGGTAGTAATGCCTACAGTGTAAAAGGACATACTTTTATTAGAATCAGTAGACTGTGGTGATTGCCATTTAAAAATAAAAGAAGCAAACACTGTGTTCTCTTGTTGGCTGATGTATTGATGGTGAAATTAGGTTTGTGCCCTATTTCAGAATGCTCTTTCCCTGACTTTTTTTTTTTTTTTAAATTTTTTAAATATGCTAGAATTTTTTTCTAGATGGGCAGAGTTACATAGTTCTATGTATAGACTGATGGTGGAGGGCACTGAGTTCTTGCTAAATTTATATACCACTTATTCTTCATACTTTGTATGATATGGACTGTAGCCTTTAGCTTAATGGAAAGTAAATTAGTGCAAATTAATGTAATGAGTTTACCCTCCTCTTTTGTAGCACAATGGCTGACAATAAAGCGAAGTCGACCAAACCTGTGAATAAGACTCCTCCAAAGTCTCCTTCAGATCCAGCAAAGGACCGAGCAGCAAAACGATTATCCTATGATTCAAACAGCTCCCATGAGGGAGCTATGGCAGGAGAAATAAGTGCTCTGGAAGAAGCCTTTAGAAAATTTGCCATCCATGGTGATACAAGAGCCACAGGAAAAGAAATGCATGGGAAGAACTGGTCAAAGCTATGTAAGGACTGTCATGTGATAGATGGGAAGAATGTGACAATCACAGATGTTGACATTGTCTTCAGTAAAATCAAGTAAGTTCCTTTATGCCATCATTTCCTTGTCTCCCTAACACATTTTGTAGATATCATCTATATTCTCTTGCTTACAGATGTGAGGCACTGTATATCTTTGCCACAATCAGTCTCTTTCTTGTTCTTTTATGAAACTGTGTTGCTTTGTCTGAAGGTACATCTTTCAGCTTCTGTCCTACTGTCTTAAACTGACTTCAGTGTCATAGGTCTTATGCTGTACAAAGAGGAAAGAGGTATGATGTGATCAAGACAAATTCAGGCTATGCAAAGAAACCTTTTTTTTTTTTTTTTAAAATTGCAATAAATGATATGACTGTTTCCTGAAGGATATCTGAATGAAGTCAGGATGGTTTTACCTCTTGCCAAAACGCAGCTTCAGAGGACTGAGGCTAAGGTAGGATGTGTACTTAAAGCCATTATTCTAACAACAGTCCTAATGTCCAGCACAACACCTACACAAGTTTAAAATGTAGGGCCATGCCAAACCAATGGTGAATTTGTGATGCAGACCCATGGCTGTGATTAATAGGTTAGGATTATCTCAGTGGTCCTATCTTATTCTTGTAAGCTGACTGGAGCTTTAGTGAAACTTTCTCCCCACATTGAAAACCTAGGCAGGCTTTATCGAGAAGCTCATCAAATCCAAGGGAAGACATTCAACTCTTCTGGCATGTTCTGTGTGAAGCCCCAGATTTTATTTTTTTTTTGTTCTCACTTTATGTATGGAATTGGAACATTTTCACCTTCCCCCTCCCCCTGGTATCCAATAGCCTTGTTTAAATTGTCTCACACCTCCTTGTGTTGAGGGACATGCTTTAAGGAAGGGTCCCTTAATTGTGGTTTGTAGGAACATTTATTTGGCTTGTGCTCCCAGCCACTGTGGTTGTAATGCTGAGGAAGGCATGCAAACTGAGTTGCTTACAAGGCTAGATGGGAAAACTTGCTACAAGCACTGACCCTTTAGTGTGCATTAAAGCATAGAAAGGCAGAGAAGAAAAGGCCCCTTGATCTTGAAAGGTTGTTCAGTGTAACATGCACAGTTAGATTGACATTACTTATTTGATTTCATTCTTTCTTTCTTTTCTCCTGAGGGCTCTTATTTAGGCAGTTGAAAACACTATATCTGCACACTCCAATCCTCTTGTTTTTGTATCAGTCCACTTTCTCTTTTGAGTTCCTACTTGTATTTTTTTGGAAGTTGTGTTGTCAGAATTGGGTATACTATCAGTGAAGTAGCTTATTTGAAATGGATGTTTAGGGTTGTTTGTCTATTATAGATTGAGAAAGAAACAGTGCTGGCATTTATTTTCAAATTTCCCTTGGCTTTCACAGACTTAAAAATTTCTCTGTATCTATCATCACAGGAAGTAATAAATCTTCATGCTACTTTCTTCGGTCGGTATCTGGACAAGTTAGTGATAGGACAACCCCATGATATGGCATAGACAGTTATGAAATATTAGCAGGTATAAAGAAGTATCAGTTCTGGTGCCTGCTGGGGTAGAAGGAACTCAGTCCTATTCTGCAGGAATGAGTTGTGAGGTGGCAGGCATCTGAGGCTCAAGGTGAATGTCAGCGCATCCCCTTGCGGTTCAGCAGTCTTAGCTCAAGGGTTCTTGTCTCTGCCTCTGTGGTGAGGTGCCTGTTCAGCAGTTTCTCAGACCTCTCCCATGACTGCTGTGAAGTGTTGTCATTTATTTTAGAAGAAGCACGCCATCTTTTCCTCTCTCTATCTAATATTACATAGATTAGAAGACAACTACATCAAATGCATGTTTATCTCAATTGTTTATCAGTTATGTGCTCATTCCTCACCTGTGCATGTACATACAATATGTATTTTTTATATTCTTCTCTTTTAAGATTATTTTAAAATTAAGCAATATTATGGCAGACGTGGAAACTTGTAATAGCTGAGATTTCTTGTCTTTATTAGGAGGGTCTGTTTTTTCGTGTGCATACTTTCAGTATGTATAATTTCCCATTTTGTTAAGTGTTGGGGCTTGGGCTTTGTTACATTTTTATTCTTGAGAGTGTATGTCAGCAATTCTTTTTAGTCTACATCATATTTATTTCACATATAATATTTTAAGTTTTAACAAAGAAAGATTTAATGGCTCTAGTTACTCAAGTGTTAGTAATATGCTGTAACTTAGGAGGCTTATGCATAGGCTAAGTATACAGGTTTTCTCGAGCGTGTTCAGACAACTGCTTTTCCTTGCTTCCTCATTTGCTTCACATTTAACCCTAAGCTAAAGGATAATGATATATTTGGTGTTGCATCAAAACAAACATACTCATAAAATGATTTCCATTTTGCAAGAAGCTTTTTCCCAGCAGAGTGCTAAGGTTTTTTGACAACCCAAATTTTTCCTTATCTGTGTCGAATGAAAAACATTAAACCCTATGAAAGATTCTCTGACTCCTCAGAAGGTGCAGAGTACTGCTTCCATGCCCCAGTAAGAGTAATGTTTACGGCTGTCAGAAGGTTCTGTGTGTCACTGCTGGTTTTAGGTTCTTCAGCTAGGCTGTGTCTCATAAGATGGACTTTGGCCTGGGATTCTTATGGTCAGCCATAATGGTTCAGTGAGGTGGGGCTGGTGAATCTTGGCAGTTGTAGTCTGGCCAGGGAACACACTGAAAGATAAGAAGAGATGATTGTCATGGCCAACTGCAATTGTCATGTAGTATTGTGGTAGAACTTCCAAACAGGCTTTCTGTTGGGTCTGTTACTGGGAAGCTACTGTGTCTAGCAGGATTTGTTTTTTAGCCATCTATACTTAAAGTTTATGACAATGGCACATGTTGTTGAAACACTAGGAAAATAATTGATTGAGTATAACTGTTCTTTGGATTTATCAATTACTATGTCTCTGTATAAAGCTCATGTTTGTCATCTTGCTGAGTTTCCCAGGCTTCCTTTACTGTTCTGCTACAAATACTGGCAAAGTAGGTAGGAACTATGTGTTGCTGATAATCAGGGTAAACTAACAGGGAAATTAGTAACAGATATGTTTAACTAAGAGCTCCTGAAAGATAATATTTTATTCTTGGATTGGTAACTTCCTCTGCTGCAGGAGAGATTTTATCAGTTCAATCCTGAGAAGTAATTACATTTTTGCAGAGTGAACACCCCCCTCCCCACTTCTACCTAACCAGGTGAACAAAACCTCTGAAAGTTTTGATTAGTCTGTGATACTTCTTCAGAGCTGGGATTATGTGCCTATGTTTCAGAGATTAGTTCATTTTAGGTTAAGTTTATGTTTTTATAAAGATGGAGAAAATTCTAATGAACCCTTGTTACAAATACGAAAATAAATTAAGAATGAGGTTTTCCTTCTGCGTGAGGATGTCAGGTCAAACTGAAGTGTAATTTGGCTATTTATCTTGCATAAAAGATCCATGGAAGGCCTTCATGTAAGCACAGCATTTGTATGTACATTAGGATATGAAGAATGAATGGTCTAATGCAAAGAATGCACAATAGTAGACATTAGAGAATAATTGCTACAATTGCACTGTTTGCTAAGAAAAGATCTCCCCCCGCCCAAGGATATTTTAACAGTAATGTGTAGGTTCTTAAGGGTCTCACAAATCCTTCCAATTTGGTGTCCTGTAATATAAGTTGTTGTGTGTTAAAACCAGATTTAATAGATGTCTTTCTGCCCTTTTTTCTTGCTTTTCTATTTTAAAAAACTTTCTATTGTTAGAAAATACAAGAAATTAAGCAAAGCCCACTTGTAAGTAGCCATGTGTATGAATATTTATAAGTTACATCCCTAGAGATCAGAGGAAAACCACCTACATTTATGCCAAATACTTGGATTGTATCATTACAGTTGGGATAGACTGCAATTTCTATAGTAAGTAAAGTATTTTATTTTTAGATTATAAAAACATACAATAAAGGCATATCATACAATGTCATTATCTTTCTATGCATGTTGCACCTGGAAAAGCAAAAGAAATTGTGAAGAATTACAAAGTTTTATAATATCTCATGGGATGAACTCTTATTTAAAATGGAGCAAAACCAACAAAAGTGAATATAACTGTAAATGCAATTATGTAATAAGCTTTCCTTACTGTATTTTATAGTTTCACAGTCAAAGCTTGAGATGTTGGACTCTTTTTTTTCATAGGTTCATTGGATTGCATGCAACAGTAACATGATGGTTGCAGGGTAAATTTTTATTTCAAAGCTAGCCCCTTACCTAAAGTTACATAAAATGTTCTTTTGCTAATTAGTATCAGGATAGCTTTTTCTCTTTAAGTAGCAAAAATTAAGAAACTCCTTCTGTGAAAAAACTGCTCATATCATTGTTCTAAAAAACAATGCTGGAAATACTTTATAGGAGGTAATTTTTTTTTTTAACTGTTCCCTAAATTCACTGCCATACTTGAAGGCAAGGGTAAGTCACAATCATATTCTATGAGAAGGAAAGTTTTCATAAATTACTGTATGTGAAATTTTCATGACAGGACCAAAAATAGTATTTCACCATTTTTGTAATGATAATAACTTCAACTTCTGTGTAGCTCAGGCTTCTGCTAAAATGTAGGGCTTTAGTATAAATATCTTGGTAATATTAGATCATTACAAGCGCTCATTTTTCACATACTATCTGAACCTTATACAGACATGTTTCTGCTATATTTTGCAAATTAAGAGTGATAATGTAGTCTGGGTCTACTGAATTTAGAGACATAGAACTTGCAAACATGCAATAGCATTTGAAAATTGATGATTTTCATGAGAATGGGAATTCTATGTGTATCTTTTTTAGTAGATGAAACAATTGCCTGCTTTTTGGGAAATTTTCCTCATTAACTGACTGTTTCTTTTATGTTACTCTTCCAGAGTTGCAAAAGTTTGTAGGCTGTGTCTTGCATTGTGCTTGCACAGTGTATATATGGGTTTAGTGAATCTTGTTGTCTTGGAGGAAGCAAGCTTATTGGTGACACAGGAGAAGGTCACAGAAGTGTTCTGGATTTGGTAT